ATCCTAAATCCAGCCACCTAGCTGAAGAGCTTTTTCCCCCACTATTCCAGTAATTTTTTTGTTCCATTACTACACACAAGCCAAGGCTGGGTCACAGGATGCTATAGGCATTACTATGATTTACACAAAATGGAGGTCATTGGCTGGCTCACTTTCAAGTTGGCTAAGGTGAGGTTGGTTGAGAGGGTCTACCACAGTGTAGTGATTTTGTGATCAAATTTGATTAGACCCTATCTTGTTTTGCTCCTTTCCACATGGTAAGTAACTTTAGTTTTGATTTTCTTTGTACGATGTTTTTACATGTCCAAGTAAATATCTGATAGACAAAAAAAAATGCTCACAGCTATTTGTCAAATTCCGTACTTTTTCTTAGGTTAATCTTCATTTTGTTTGTTTCCAATTTATTATTGAAACGTGTTCATAGGCATTAGACTTTTGATCCTTTCTATGTCTGAAATCAACTATATTTTACCTTCAAGTTTAACAAATTTGGCTAGTAACAGAACTCTAGGTTCAAGACCATATTCACTTGGAGGCACGGCTCTACTGTTTTTCGCATTTGATGTTGCAATTTAGAAGTCTGCTGCTACTCTGATACCTATTTGTATTCAGGGTTTTGGGTTTGGTGTCTTAAAATTTCACTGGTCTTTGTCAATGAGTGGATCATTCCATTTTTAAGACCAATGTCTTTATATCTAGAAAATTTTCTTCAATCTGGGTTTTTGTTTCTGGTAAAAAAAAAAAAAAAAAAGGAAAGAAAGAAAAAAATAGAAAATTTTCTTCTGTCATTTCTTTGGTATTCCTCCATACTACTGTCATCTTCTAAGCACTCCTACTCAAAAGGAACTTGTGGATCTAACTTGGATCAATCTCTTTGTACTTTTGCACTGTTTGTAGAAATTCTAGTTCATTAATCTGATTGTCAGCTATGTTCTTCCTGCAACTCAGTACACAGAATAATATTATTTCACCAACCATGTTTTTTAGCTTGTAAGGATGCTATTTCATTTTTTTCTTTAAGATTTTAGTTTTCAAAATCACCTGTTTTCTCAGGGATTAATTGTATTTGTTGTCTGTGTTTCTTAAATGTCTGATGATGACTTGGTATCTTAACTATTTGTACATAAAGGCCTCTACATAAAAATTATATTAGTTGCAAAATACTTCATGAGCTTAAGTAAGAATTCCTATTTTCCCAGGTAGTATATGCCAATTCTGATTATAAAAGCCCAAACAGAAGAAAGAAAGATATATACAAATTTGCACTATTGTAGGCTTTCCATTAGAGGTGTATTTCTCAAAATTAGATCTGAAGATAACTTCATCAGAATCACAAGGGTTTAGAGCAGTTTGAACTGAAAATCCTAGGCCTCCTTCCCAAAGAGTTCTGTACTCTATCAATTATGTTCTATGTTCAACTAGATAAATCATTCCTTGACTTGCTTCATTTGTTGGGATATCCATGATACCTTGTAAAAAAAACTTTAATACTTACCAGCTGTAGTATTGGTTTGAGACCCAAAAGCAAAAGTAGCCTTTGCTGGCTGTTCAGATTCCTTCTCACATGGTTTTGCCATATTAAAACTAAACGTTGACTTTGAAGAACTCTCATCTTTGGTTTGCTCTGAATTCCCAAAGGAAAACACTGGTTGACACTTTGGCTCTTCATTGTCAGCTTTCTTCCCAAAAACTAGAGAAGTAGAAGTGACAGGCTCTTGCTGTTTCTCTTCTGTCCTTCCTAAAACAAACATTGAGGCAGATGGCACAGAGGCAGGTTCCACATTGCCAAAAGTGAACCCTCCTTTGGTGGCAGGCATTTCTTCTTTTTTTGCTTCTGATGTCTTACATGTGAAAGGAGGCACTGAAACACTCTTGGTTTCTATGGTTGCAAAGCTGAAGCCGCTCTTGTTCTCAGAGGTCACTGTGGTGTTAGCAGCAGCAGGGGTGGCGTTAATAACACCTGTACCAAAGCTAAAGCCTGCAGATGAAGATTTAGGCAGTTCCTCTTTCTTTTCTTGCTGTCCAAGATTAGACATCCCAAATTGAAATGGAGTTAAAGAAATTGGGTTGCTTAAACCAGAAGAAAGTCCAAACTTAAAATTATTATCATTCTTACTGTCTTTTTTAACTTCTTCAGGTTTAGAATCAGATGAAACTCCAAATTTAAAATCTCCTATTGGTTTAGAAAATTTAAACCCTTCACTTACGGTGTTTACAGACCCAGAATCTGATGACACACATATTTTGAATCCTCCCTGATGTCCAAATTTAAAGTTTCCAGTGTTTGTTAAAGTCTGAGAAGGCCCGGAAGAGGATGATGGGATACCAAATTTGAAGGATGAAGCTGGTGGGTTCGAAAATGAGGAAGATGTGCCAAAGCCTGCAAAAATATGATACCACAAGACACTGAATTAATATACTCACCCTCTCAAATAAAATGTAAACCCTGAAAGCCAAAGTGACATAGGAATAACTTTGAAAAGGCCTAGTTTGAAGAGTATTACCAACAGCAGTAAACATGAACCAGGTTGACCAACGTACAGTATGAGAATTATATCCCAATCCTTACCACTATACTGACATGCCACTTTTCATTTACTGACTGGCAGAGATCAAAAAAGTCTGATAAAGTTTGTACTGGCGATGAGACTGGAAATAACAGGCACTATTATACATTGCAGGTGGACATGTAAATTAGCACAAAACTTGTAGGGGGGCAATTTGTTAATCTTTACCAAAAATTACAAACACATATGCCCTCTGACTCAGCAATTCTACAGCTGGGACTTTGTTTTAAAGATAAACTTACAGGCCTGCAAAATGCCATATGCAGTTCAGGCAACTGTAAATAAGAAAGAACAGGCCAGGCGCGGTGGCTCATGCCTGTAATCCTAGCACTCTGGGAGGCCGAGGCGGGTGGATTGCTCAAGGTCAGGAGTTCGAGACCAGCCTGAGCAAGAGCGTCTTGCTAAAAAGACATCTCCACTAAAAAATAGAAAGAAATTAATCAGACAACTAAAAACATATAGAAAAAATTAGCCGGGCACGGTGGCTCATGCCTGTAGTCCCAGCTACTCGGGAGGCTGAGGCAGAAGGATCACTTGAGCCCAGGAGTTTGAGGTTGCTGTGAGCTAGGCTGACGCCACGGCACTCACTCTAGCTCAGGCAACAGAGTAAGACTCTGTCTCAAAAAAAAAAAAAAAAAAAATGAGAAAGAACAACAAAGATATGCCTGAGATAATACATGATAAAATCAAGAGGATAGAAAGGAAGTGTAGTATACAATCTTTTCTAATAAGGCAAAAGGAAATAAGAATACCTAGAATAAAAGTGTTTGATTAAGATGAGCATAAAGAAACTGAAAGATTTACAAGAGGCTGGGTGTGGTGGTTCATGTCTGTCATCCCAGCACTTTGGAAGGCCAAGGCCGGAAGATCACTTGAGGGCAGGAGTTTGAGACCAGCCTGGGCAATGTTAGTGAAACCTTATCTCTACAAAGAATTAAAAAATTAGCCAGATGTGGTGGTGTGTGCTTGTAATCCTAGCTACTTGGAGGCTGAGGCAAGAGATCACTTGAGCCCAGGAGTTCAAGGCTCCAGTGAGCTAAAATCATGCCCCTGCACTCCAGCCTGGGCAATAAAGCAAGATTCTGTTTCAAAAAACAAAAACACCAAAAGATTTACAACGAATTAGCCATAGCTATTATGCTTGGAAGGGGGAAGTTAGAATACAGACAAGAGACAGACTTTTCACTGTGAATCTTGTTCTTGATTTTTAAATCTTGTGAATAAATGTGTTATTTACTCAAGCATTTAAAAATAATTTAGCATCAAAAAAACAAGAATTATATGAGTTGAAGCAAAATTTATAAAGTTAAACAATATTATACTGACAAGATCAAACTCTTGGTTTCATGTTTTTCTGTAGCTGAAGAAACTAGTAAAACGATGTGCTTACTCATCGGCTCAAAACAAGAATCATTTAAAGGTGCTAAGATACTTACGCATCAATCTACTTATCCATAAGTAAATAGACAAATGATAGCCAAGATTTATAAGCCCATCCTCAGATTTCCCCCTTTAATTATTACCCACCCCACCTTCTTTCCATAAGAGAGGCTTAGTTGAAAAATTACATCGCAATCTCAGAAAGATGTGGCTATCCACGTGGTCTAAAATACATTAAATGATATTAGACAGAAAGCTAAAAATAAAGGTGTCAAAGACAAGAATTAACAAGTTATCACCTCTGCTTCAAAGGGCTCTACTGGACAGATTTAAAAGTATGGTGCTCACTGTACTGCAGACAGAGAACAGTGTTAGAAAGAGACCATGAATTAACAGCTACAGAATGAGATAAAATGTACTGGAAAGCAGTTACCTTCTAAAACACAGGAATGCAATGTTTTCCAAACTGCCAGTTGTATTCCATTCATCATTCAATTAATTTAGTGGGCTGCAACCACTTGTTTTTCTTTTAAAATGAAATAAAATAGAAAATACCAGGGTACCTCACACGCATGAGAGCTAAGTATTATTTTTTAAAACTTGTATTTCGCTCATATAGACAAGTACACTGTGCGTGTGATGGTTCACAACATAAAAGGCTTACTTCTGACTTTTGGTTTGTAGTCAAAAAAGTTTGAAAGCTCCTAGAGTCCAAGGCAAATTACGAAGCAGATAAAGCTTGGTATTCTTTTTTAATCCTCACGCATTTCCACCTGGTAGGCTCACTTTCTTACAAATTAAAATCTTTCTCACCCCTCCCTGACAGGTCCTTCAGATCTAAAATCTCTTCTCTTTCCCAGCTTTTATCAAAACTTTGACTGAAATGTGTTAAATGATTAAAATAATTCACACAGGGATATAAAAATTTGAAAAATTTGGCCTCCAGATAGTTCAGCATTAATTACTTTGAAAAGTTTTTCTCATATTTTACATACTAAAATATTAAAAGAGTTATTTTTCTGGGACATATTCTGAGAATCCAAAGTCCAAGCCAGGATTAATTATAATAGGTTTCAGAGGTGTAAATTCCCAGTCGAATACGAGTCAGTAAATTCATATAGGGTGTTAAGAGTTTAAAATAAAAAACAAAAAACTTTGAGACTCCGTAACACAAGAAATTTCTTTACTCAGCCGTAGAAAAGATAGCTGTTAGCCAGGCGCGGTGGCTCATGCCTGTAATCCCAGCACTCTGGGAGGCCGAGGCGGGCGGATTGTTTGAGCTCAGGAGTTCGAAACCAGCCTGAGCAAGAGCGAGACCCTGTCTCTACTAAAAATAGAAAGAAATGAATCAGACAACTAAAAATATATAGAAAAAAATTAGCCGGGCATGGTGGCGTATGCCTGTAGTCCCAGAGCTACTCGGGAGGCTGAGGCAGGAGGATCACTTGAGCCCAGGAGTTTGAGGTTGCTGTGAGCTAGGATGACGCCACAGCACTCTAGCCCGGGCAACACAGTGAGAATCTGTCTCAAAAAAAAAAAAAAGAAAGAAAGAAAGAAAAGAAAAGAAAAAAGAAAAGATAGCTGTTGACAAACAACTAACTCAAGTTTACAATAATTCAGAGATATAACTAAAAGATCTCAAGATAATATCTCATTTTACATGAATTTTCAATAGAAAATGAGTAACTTAAACACTAAAGTAGTTTGCAAATACTTCATTTTAAAATGGCCTTTCAAAGAGGCCCTTTACCATTGCCTTACCTTTAAACTCTGATTTTGTGCCTGGCTTTGCACTCTCACATGCTGCACATTTGGTAGAGTCTGCTTTATTCTGCACTAGGCACACTCCACAGTCCCAGCTTCCCTCAGGTTTCTTGAACTTGTCCCATCCTAGACAGCCTCCAGAAGACAGAGAGACAGGTACAGTGCTGCTACTTGAAGTCGGTACTGAAGTTCCTAAAACATAATGGGGGAACACATGAAAATTTTAATTTACATGTCAGAATTTTAATGACACCACAAAGTTAAATGCTCAATTTCTAGTAACATTTCCTATTAAGATAAAATGCCAAAAATACGAACAGTACCTTGTTAAGAACAGGACAGACCTCTCAGATTTCTTTTAACCTTATAAATGAGCAGCTCACACTAACCTTGCTCAGTGGTAAGCTCCCCTTAACCTGAAGTATGAAATTCTAGGGATTTTTTTGTAAATCATGATCACAAATTAGGAGCTAAAAGACTAAACTGTCCTCAAGAATCTTTGTCAAATTTCTTCAAACAGCCCAGCATTCTAAGACATAAGATGTAAACTGTAGGCAATATCCTAACATATAAAATACATAGCCATGGACCATATTAATTTCAAAATTTCAAAGCCTAGGTCTCTCTGCCTTTGAAACAATCATTTCTGCACAGAAGAAAGTGTCCTATCATTCACTTTGCAATTCAACTTGACACCTACTATGTTCACAATACTCCTGTTATATGCTAGCCATTTAGCAGATATTTATTAAGCACCATAACATACTTGGCTTCTGGAGACACTAAAGATGAACAAAATATTGCTTATCTTCTAAGGTGCTCATGGTCTAAAAGGGGGTAAAAAAAACAAAAACAAAAACAAAAAGCATTTATCACCAAGTGATAAATGATCTAAAACAAGTGTGCAAAGAAGGAAGAAATGACTAAAAGGCAGAAGGCTACACAGAGGTGAGAAATCTTTAAGCGGAATTGGCACGTTTGTGTGAGAAGTTGCATGGGGAGTGCTGAGAGGGGAACCATTCATTCTGGTATTCCTACTTCTCTAAATGGTCTCCAACCATTGTCACTTTGCCCATAGTTACCTGAACGATTTCTGTATTTTATAGACACGTTCTCCTCTATCTTACCAACAAAATTGCTCCTTGGGGTTCAATCTTTGGTCCATTGCCCTTCTCACAAGCTCATCTACTCTGATAGTTTTAAACACCAACAAAACATTTCCTAATCTGATCTGCATCCCACACTCTGAGCTTCATCATTATAGTCTCTTAGTTGATGACTCCACTGTCCACTTGATTATTAGCTTAGCTGGATGGTTCCTCCTCCCTTATATATTTCTCAAATTTATTCTAATCTTGTTCTGACTCTTCCATTACTATTCTAGTTTAAGCCCTCCTTCATCTCTTACTTGAATAATAGCCTTCTTATTGAGACCACTGATCTTGTTCCTTTGAAATCCATCCTCCTCAGAATCAACCAGTGCCATGTAGTTTTGTTGTAGTTCTCTGGTTGTTCCTTTAAAAGATTAACTGCTCAAACGTTTAATTCCTGCCACTCCCTTTAAGTTAGTGATTTTAGTTTTAGGCCATCTTTTGTATTCATTCAACTCACTCATCTCTACTCCCAAGACTTCAAATATCAAAACTATGAACTAATGACTCCAAATTGGTATCTCCAGCCCAGAGGGTCTGTATCAGTATATCCAAAGGCCTCACACAGTATCTGAATGTCAACTTCAGCAGCTTGAAATCAACTGCTTTTACATTATTCCCCATCCCCGATTCCCTACTTAATCCCATTAGTACATATCATCAGTATCTATCACCTATATATAATTATTGCTATAACTTCCTAACCTGTCCTCTGGTCTCCAAATTTTGATGCCTTCAAATCTGTTCTCCAAAAAGCCAGAGTGACTTATCAAAAATACAAATTTGACCACATCACTACTCTGCTGAAAATGATGGTTCATCATTTAAAGAATAAAATTCTTTAATACACAGATGAGCTTCCTTTGTTCATGTGTAAGAAATTACTTCCCAACTCAAAAGTTTTATTACTCTTCCACCGACTCAAAATTAATTTTGGTTTCCTGCATACATCAAGGGCTTTCTTTTTTTTTTTTTTTAAGGTGAGGAGGGGGCACCAGATGGGAAGAGGAAGGTATTTCAGAATGAAGATTGTAAAGTCTTATTCTTGTGGAGATGCCCAGTAGGAATTAGAAACATGGCTCAAGGGCTCAGGCAAGGGGTCTAGGTTAATGTAACAACTCAGAGCTTTACACTACAGACATAAAACTGCACAACCATTAAAAATGCACTAAAAATAGGAAGGATCATTCTCAGAATATGCATGTTTTTACTTAGTATCTATGTTACCGTATATATGTACCACATTCATTCTATAATTACAAAACCAGCAAAGAATCACTTTCAGATGAATTAAAGATTGATGTGAATCTTCAGTAATTTTTCCAACTTTGAACAGAGAAATAGAAAAAACTCAAACCTAACTCCATTTTTCTGGCTAAGTTAGAATTTTTTCATTAATGATTCAGTAATTCACTATCATTGCAACATCTCTGGCACCGAACAAAAGGTACCGTCATTAATATTCAGCTACCGTTTTTCATTAAGGACTACTGTTTAATCCTTAAAGAAGCCTTCCCTGGTAATGACCACTAGCTATCCCCATTTCTACTTAGAGAGGAGACAAATATTGTATTCTCTACAAAGGTCTGAAGAAACACTGCCCCACTTTAAGATCTTTCTAAATCTTTATTAGTCAACTTTGAAAATGATCATGAAGAAGTTTCCGAGAAAACCGCACAGAAAGGTCAGCATATATATTGGACTGGTTAACACGCAAACTATCCAAAACGAACATGGAGATCTAGCCCCAAGCAAGTCATTTTAAACACAAGATAGTTTAGAAAAATTAATACATATGAGGAAATGCTCATCCTGAAACATTTAAAATATTGCAGCTGTTCTGAACTGTTTTGTAAAGAATAAATTACAATGTTGTACTACAGTACTTAGCAAAATTATTCCATAAAGCCATAGACATACCTGGTTTCTCAGACATACAGGACACACATTTATTGTCTTCTGCATTATTAGAAACACAGCATACTGGACACTCCCAAGAGCCCACGGGCCTTTTGAATTTATCTCCAAATCCTAAGGTATTGGTGGTCACAGTGCAGCTGGAAGATGAAGCAGTCACAGTCTCAGCACTTTCTGAAACCACTGTCAATGCAAGGACTCGCTTCACACCAGTTCCAGGTTTCGGTGTTTCACAGGCTACACATTTTATCGCTTCAGGTTTATTTTGTACTAAACAGGTATCACAATCCCAAATTCCTACTGCTGGTTTAAATTTGTCTCCAAAGCTTGTCCCTGATGTAGAAAGAGTTGCTTTGCCACTTTTACTTGGTGTCCCATTTCCAGTCTGTTTAGCACTATCTCTTGATGGCAATTTTGCTGCCTGACAGGCTATGCACTTGCTGTCTGTAACTTTGTTCTGGAGTAGACATGTATCGCATTGCCATGATGATCCAGCTTTTAAACTTTCTCCAAACCCGATTCCACTAGAAGAAAAGCTACTTATTGCTGGTCTTGTATAAACTACTGGGCTTGTCGTGGTAGGCTGAGCAGAAAGAGAATCTACCTTCAGTGATGTGAAACCTGCAATAGAGGAAGGGGAGAGTGCAACAACAATAAAAAGTTAGAGAAGCTTTTTACATCAAAGCATTAACTGGAATATTATTACCGGGAGAAGACATATTTACCTTATTGCACAGTTACTACAATCCAAGATGGACTATTTAAGAGTTGTTTTTCACCCAAGCAACCATATTTATTAATTACATAATTAATAAGTGACACTTAGATCAGTTAAAATTCTACAAAAGATATTATTTATAGGATAGCATCTTCTCCCTCTAGGAATTTATAGTTTGATGCTTTCATTTGTACTAATTTACTGATACACACTATTGTCATCCACATTTCGCTAAGTTCTGCCTTCCTGCAAATACAGTATACTCATAGCCTTCCTCCCTCATCTGTCTCTTCTTTCAAGTTTCCCTTGGCCATCTCAAATGACTTCAATATCTATCATCTTTCAATTTTGTTCAGTCATAATCCACTGTTGTGGTACCCGCTACCTTTAATAAAACCAGATGAGTTATGTACGTATAGTTATTTGACAGATGTCCCTCCCAAGTACAACTGGGTGGTAAGGATTATTTTTAATTATACTAAACACATACGGGCTTTAAAATGGTAATGGTTCAATGACAAATCCCAACAAAGATGTACCAAATCCTCTGGTAAGGCCTACGAATATAAAAATGATTAAGATCTAATCTATCCTCATGGAGCAAGAGCTCATGAGACTCAAATACATGCTTACACAAAATTACTGAACAGTTATTCAAACAAAACTGCCTCAGATGTCGCTTCAATCTCAGAGAGCCTTTCAAATTCCAAGTATACCATTTTGGTAAAAATTGAAGGTGTTTAATTTAGACAAGGTGTTCACACAAACCATGTAATGGGGCTGGGGAGCAGAGGTCTTTGTGCTACCCAAACTGTTGCAATTGAATTGATTCATTTAAACTATACTTCATTCATGGGAATGATTTGTAATCCTTTACTCAGAACCAGTTAACTTTTATTTTACAAACATTGACACCATCAGTGATCTGTTTCTCCAGCCTTTACCACCAAAGGAAAAGACAATTAGAAGGGAAGAAAATATAGAGGGTTGTTACAGGTTTTCTAGTGGTACCAATAAATAATCCAGCCTAAAGCTATTTTAGATAAAGGCAAAATGATCCCAAATACTTCAGTTACTCCCAGTGGTCAACAATATACTATTTTGCTAATGATTAATTTAAATCACTAACTTTGGCAAAATTTTAACAGTAACCACCTCAAAGCACCACAGATCTCCTTCCAACTTTTCAGATTTTCCTAATTTTGCTCAAATGAAGACTCCCCACAAATTCTGTCTATTTAAAAAGCCAAAAAGGGACGAGGGGACGTCAGTATGAGTGCAAAGTGTAACCCTAGATATGTAAGATAAACTATACACACTTGATGCTTGCCAACTACCTGGTTAATTCTAGCACACGCATTCTGGAGTTCTGCCATAACTGCACAAAACTGTCTAAAATACTGGACTCCTGTAGGCAGTATACTCATCTATAAAATGAGAGATCTGGGCCAGAAAAACCCAATCCTTCTAAATTCTGTTGTAAAAGCCAACCTTATTTTTAAAAACCTATCCCATTTACACGAACACATCTGCTGGATAAGTTTAAATTCTTTCTGAGCTATTAGATTATCTTAGAAATGGTTTTACATTCTTATACTACACAGCAAATGAAATTGTGAACATTCTCTTTGATTTCAAACCAAAAACTTAATCCTATCTGAGAACTTCTATGTATCCTCTTCAAAAGTTTACCTACTAGCTTGCAAATCTTGTTTCATTTCAAGTGAGTACTGTCCCCTATATATATATATATATATATATGTTACAACTCAGCAAATGCTTTCCACCTGGCCTTGTTCCATATATACCAAACTGGGAAATACTTTGAGATGAGAAGGCAGTTCAATGCTCTCAGAGAAAGACATGCCTAGATAGTCTTGTTTTAGTCTTGATTCCATATTGGCCTGTCTCTATTGGCAATTCATTTTCTCCTTCTACACTTGCCTCTTAGAGATTTCATTTTATTACAGAGTCCTTAAATTCCAAAGAAATAAGTAAGGTTTCCAAGATATTTCCCACAAAAGGATTACATCTGACTACATCTATGTTCAAAAGTCCATGTCCTATCAAACTAGTCATAATTTTTTAAAGCCTAAAGCATAACACAAATGACATTAAAATGAGATAATGAGTTTGTATTAAATAATTAAGATTTTTTATTCTCAACAGTAGCTGTTATCTTACCAGGGCTTTTCAGAACATCTAGAACACTTCCTTCTTTCAGGGTTTTTGCAGGTCTAAAAGGGTCCTCATAATTTTCATCTGATGTCCTCTTACAGCTTGTACTATTCACTGCAGTGATATCTTGAGCTGCAATTTTTTTAATTGTAAAAGATATTATATGTCGAGAAAAAGCACTGGACTCTAAATTAAATGCATTAAAAAATCTTTCAAAGTCAACTATTTTTGATCAATTTCTAAAAGCTCATGAAAAAATTCACTGTGATTCAAAGATAATGACTGAACAAACTTAAAGTACAGAATCAATCTGCCATTAAAAGAAGGCAAAAATACTATTTTCCATACTGTGCCACCCCCCAACACACATACACAAAAAGGCAAAAAATATGAACTATAATTGTCACCCAATGAATTCACTAATTATCAAGAAAATCAAACTGAAACACTGGAGAAAATATGGCAACTGGGGAAAACCCATCCACTGCATGAACTACGCATTTGATTACACAAAAATTTATACTACCGATCAAGAAAACCTTAAAAGTAATTTTCAATAGAGCAGTTATTTCATTTCTAGAAATTCATACTATAACTGAACATATCTCCAGTTATATTGAGAACCTATATGACAATATGCTCTATAATAAGGGTCTGGTTATACGAATTATAGAACGGTGACATGATGGAATGCCTATGCAGCCAAAGAAGTCATTCTTAAAAGTGGTTATAGATAAAAGCAGGTTGGAAAGTTCAGAAGATTTAGAATGTTTACATCTAGAGAGTAATAGTGGCTGCTAGTGGTTAGGTGAGTGATTTTTATTTATTGCTTTTACATTTTATGCTTTCCAAACTTATATCCTTATATTTAAAATAAGAGATCTAAATTTTGAGTGTGATAATGACTTTACACTTGTATGTTTAAGGAGAGATCTGACGAAATAAGATGTTTGGGATTGTTTCAAAACAACCTCATGTGTGTGTTTCTATGTGGGGGCGAGGAGAGGGAAGAAACGAAGGAGACAAGAAGAAACAAGTTGGTCATAAAATAGTAAATGTTGAAGCAGGTAAAGAGTATATGGAATTCAGTCTACTATTCTCCTTTTGACAATGCTTGAACATAAAGAACCAGGTTTTTCTTTTTAAATGTTTGCCAATTTAAAAAATAGTGGGTAAAGTAGTTTCAAAAAATCTACTTATCTCTACCTCACACCACAAACAAAAATTACTTCAAGGCCGGGCGCGGTGGCTCACGC